AAAAAAAAAAAAAAAAAAGAAGAGAAGAAAAGAAATCCGCGTTTCTCGTAGTTACCTTGTTTTCGCTCTTCCACTTTCGAACTCGATCAACCGTTTCCCTCTTTATTCCTCCAAAGCTGCAGGTCGTTGCCTCGTATAATGCCGAAAGAACTTCCCGGACCGAAGTTTCGCGCGTTGCTGTTTTAATATATATAGTGATGGATAAAGTCCCGTTCAGATTAGCCGAGTTACTTGAATTTAAGGGCAACTTCGCTTCAACTTGGTGCAGGTCGAGTTGATTGGCTTCAAATCGTTTCCGTCGCTCAAGTGGAGCTACCCGATAGAGAATAGAATATAAAAGCTACGAAGGTCGTAGGAAAAGGAATGCGAGCGATAAAGTATGCAACTCCAAGAAAGTTCGCACGCTTCTGTACACATTGAAATATTTAAATCCTTGCTATATTCTCGCGAGAGATTAGACATTTATTAGAAAATGAATATTCGGTCGCATTAACGAAACGTTTCGAATTATTTCAGTTTAAGCTAGCAGGTGACTGACGAGAACAAGCGTAGAGACACGGAAGGATATTTCAGAGTAAATAACGGTTTCACACTGAGGCCTCAGATCGCTCAGAATTCAAGTAACTTGACTAATTTGAACGGCGCTTGAGGCCGAGCTTGTATACCGTTCCAATAAATTACCCCGGTAAGCGTTGGTATGTCAGACAGGACGATGAAAAATCAGGAAGATCGTCTTGAAATTAGCTCGTAGATCTTACCTCCATCATGTGCAACATTGAATTTCCAGAATTTGACAGTCTCTGCCTTTGTCAAAATCCTCTCCTGTCTCCGAACATGAATGCACGTGCATTCTAAGAGTACGAGAGCACAGAACTAAATCGAGAAATCTCGCAAACTTGTGCACGAAGAAGTTACTGTTTTGATTTCGATAAAAATATTACGGGGCGAAGTTTTACGCAAAGAGTAAAAAAAAAAAAAAAATTGAGAACGTGTACGATGCAAAGTACGATTTAGTTTTAAAGTAAACAGGCAGTATTTCATCATTTTCTGATGTGAAAGAATCTTTTGTTTAAATTGCTTGGATTATTCTTCGGCATCGATGAGCAGGTCAACTTTAAAGACGATGTCGCGAGACATGTTTGATCAGCATCTTACAACTTACACTCGTAATCCTTCGAAATTTGGCGAGCTGTTGAAATTAATTTTTAAATCCTCTTTTCAACGAGGCGAACGCGCGGCGGGTTCACTAGTCTCGTTCGAAGAGAACGACTGCGTTGGAAGAATAATTTGCCGAGATTATCGGACGTTGTTGATAGAACTTTACTTGCGTTATCAAACTTTCCTCAGCCGTTCTGATCTCGAAACAGCGACTATCCTTTGAACATTATTTCCATTCCGAAAGTTTCGTTGTTGTTGTTGTTGTTGTTGTTGTTGTTGTTGCGAACCAACTCTGATAGTTCAATTTCCCTCGAGCATATTTTGTTCGATGCTCTTCGAAATTTTCAACGGGACGTGTTCTCGTTATTTTTCACGATTCTTATAT